AAGCTCCATGTGAAGAAGCAGGAAGTGGAAGAACAGACTTCATGTCAAAAACATGGATAAAATGAAACCCTGACAAGTTCGATCCTTGTTACAGGTGTGATGTTGTGCTCAGCCGACCAATCAGAGTTTTGCAGGTGTGATTAAGAGCAGGTACAGTCTTCCCATGTAGCTAGCTGCCTGGCTACATCCATCCATGAAAGACAGGGAGAGAAAAATATCAGCTCTCATGGTGTCAGTTCAGGAGCCACATCTGAAGACTGTCGAAGGCTCCTTCAAGTGCGTCCTTCTTTCCCTGCGTCATGAAGGCTCCAATCTATCCCAAGATTCATTGCGCTCAGTTCAACAGCTAACGGTACAACTGTTAAGATCAAGAGACTTAAGGAAGGTACGCCCACTTCTGGACCCTCTCCTGTGGGAGGAGTCAGAGGGTTGTTCAGGTGGGAGGAGTCACTGACGTGTTTTATGTCGTAAAGTAAAATGTCAAAATGTCTGGAGCTTGTGTTTCGCCACAGATTTTTTATTTCAGTCATTAAACAAAAAACATTCAAAAACCCCAGAGACTTCAGGACATGGGAACAGGAAGTGCTAACATGCTAACATGCTAAGGTATTTCCAGGGTTCAGGACTCGTTCCTTCAAACACAGGATTGTTTTCGGCTCATTTCTTGGTTTAGTTGGAGGAAACAGAAGAATGAGTCTGACGTGTGTGTGTTGAGCTGCTGGTTGAACATGTGGTGAACACACCTGAGACCTGAGGTGAGATGATGTCACCGGAAAAACATACCTGGAGCTGAAGATCTGGGTGAACAGTCTGTGAATCCTTTGGTTATTTATTTATTTATTTATTTATTTTTTGGCAGATTCATAAAAACTTTAGTGATTTGATTCAGGACTTTGTTGGTGACAACAAACCAACAGCTTAGCATCTCCTTAGCACTGTAGCACCTTACCAAGCTAATGCTAACGGACGCTTTGCTGAAGATGTTTGAGGCTCTTGTTGCGTCTGTTTTTTCTCGTGTTTCACTTTCTTTATTTCCTGGTTGGTTGTGAAGTCACGTCATGTCTCAGTCATGATGTGTTTACATTTATATTTTTATTATTTATTTATTAATTGATCTTATTTTATTATTATTATACATTATCACACATGATATATTGTTGCAATTGTGTTGATTTTATCTGTTTTTTTATTTGTCACAAGTGATGAATTTTCAACTGGAACCGTTTTGGGGAAAATAAAAACTTGTAATTTACAATATTATCTCAGGAACAGTTGCTCAGACCTTTGAAATCCAGTTTCCAGGTTTGTGATTTGTGTTTTGAATAAAGTTAAATTCAGGAAGTTGTCTTCTGTGATTGTTCTGATGCTGTAATATTATAGTAAAACTGGAGAAATCCTCTCATTTCCAGCTCCTGACGGTTTTTTTCCTCCTGATTTCGCTGCAAATGAACTCACTTCAACACGTGGACAGGTCTGATAAAGTCTCTCTCTCTTCAAAGTGTCGTATTGAGGAAACTGTCTGAGGTCAAGGATCCTGCTGCTGCTTCCTCACTGAAAAACAGCCGTGAAAAAAAAATGAAATAAATACATTTTCCCTCTGAGTCACTGGAAGATTTTTTTTTTATTATTGATTAGAAACCTGGAAGACGGAGTTCACTGACCTCCAGAGGCTGATGACATTCATCTTCACACTCTGATGTAAAACAGGAGACGGAGCCTTTGAAAGGGAAGAAAGACGACGTTTCCCTGCGAAGATGAAAAAGAGAAAAAGATTCCTCTCCTTTGTGCGCACTGTATTTCTAATTTACAGCTGTTTTCTCTCAGAACTCATAATGTTTTTCAATTCACCCAGACTGAAGCAGAGAGAACTGGGAGGTCCAGGTTCTGTGGTGGTTGGGTCCCGTGGAGGTCTGTGGCTTCATGGAAGAGGAAAATAAAGAAAAGTGAAATGTTGAAGAGCTCGACGAGGAGTTCACATGCAAATGATGGACTTTTTAAACCTGGACAAGCCACGTCTGAGGAAGAAACAACTGTGTCTGAGGAAAACGTGAATAAAACCAGAATTATCTGAAAATAAACGAGGTGAAAATATGAAAGAAGCCAAGGCTTTAGAGAAACTGAGGTCGGTGTGAAGGTGTTAAAGACTGAAGAGGAAATAGAGTAAACTACTGCAATTATCTTATAAATAAAACCAGAAAATTTTAAAATGGTGGAAACAGACTCACTCAGTTTATTAAAACCCACATTCACAATAGATCAATAAGTAAAATATGAGTCAGAGGATCAAGTCAGAAATATTACAGGAGTGTAAAAACATTATAAAGTTACTGGAAGCTCACTGGAAGTCTGTGAACATTATTACAGTGAATAAAAACATTCAAACTTCCAGAAACAACATTAATACGTTCAGTGACTCCTTTAAAACACGACGTGTCTGAAGTAAAACACTTCATACCAGTTCAAACAGTTCAATGAAATGGAGATAAATGAATCTGTTGAGCAACACACACACACACACACACACACACACACACACACACACACACACACGCACCTCCCTGTAAAGTAATTAACTAAACTATTATTGACACTTAGAAACATTATAGTGAGTTTCAACGTCAGTATTAATGAAGCAGCTAATTCTTTATTCATTAAAGCTACTTGTTATATCTGTTATTCATTTCCTCTCAGCTCGTTATAAACTACAAACACAGGGAGAATATCTTCACAGAAGTTTCACAGACGCTGTTAAAGAGATCAGGTCAGAAACACGACGTCTAGATACGTCAGATATTAGAGGAACTAAAAACTCCTTTCAGATTGATTCACATCAGAAGACTTAATGGATGAATATGAATCTCATGTTAGGACATTATTTACTCCCAGACCGTCTTAAAAAAGAAACGAGCAACAGAGGAAACACGTGAGGCCTCTAATGTTGTTTTCAATGTGATTAATTCACTAAACTAAAGTAAAACTAAACTAAAACTAAAACTAAAACTAAACTGAATAAACTAAACTAAACTCCTTCCAGAAACATTAGCGGGAATAAAGTTCCTACGGAAATATTATAATCATATTATTAAAGATATTATAACAATAGAAATGTCTCAGTTCATCTCTTAATAAACCGCTGCCCGGATTAATTCCAGCTGTTCTAAACATCTGTAAACACCTTCAGGTCACTGCGGACTTTCCGCTCCTTCTGGATCCCACCGGGGTTACCTGTCCTCTGGCCTGCAGCGTGATGAGGTCCCGGTCTGGTCCCGGCCTGGTCCCGGCCTGGTCCCGGTCTGGTCCCGGTCTGGTCCCGGTCTGGTCCCGGCCCGCCTGCTGTCCGGTCCCTCTTGGAGCTGAACGGTTCACCGGGGAGCCTCGTTTTTAATCTGCCGCCGGAAAACTACAACAGAGGACGTGAAGTGACGTGTTAGCGCAGGTCAGCAGGTGATTGGCTGAACTGATCTGGACTGGACTGATCTGGACTGATCTGGACTGGACTACAGCTACAGGTCTAAAGGTGGATTATTGCTCATTAATGATGATCCAGCGCGGGTTAAATCAGTTATTAAATAGCTTTAATAAATGTTCTCAAAACTCTCTGCAGGGTAAGATAATAGATAATTACACTATAACTAATAATTCAAGTCAGAAATCTGCAATAAAGGTCAATATTCTGCTGAGAATCAGTTTATAATTCTGTTTAATTTCAATAAATCTCAAATGAACTTAAACATTAGTTAGAATTAAACAGAAAATAAAATAAACTTATAACTATAATAAATGAATCATTACAAAGCATCTGTAACCAATTAAAACTGAAATTAATTCATTCAGATTAAAGACTTTAAAACATTATAAAGTGCCAGTAATAAATACAAGACAGTGGAATATTTCCTGTTGTGTTCAGGTGATTTAATGTTATAAATAATTATTAAATGAATGAGTGGAAATAAAAACAGAAATTTACTGAGAAAAAAAAGTATCAGAACAGAAAAATGAAAAATGAAAAGTTTAATTTATCTTCAGGTTTGAATCTTTTAGTTTAACACAGCAGTTTGTATTTATCTGAACTTTATCATCTGCAACAAGAAAAGACAGTAAGTGAATCTTTAAAGGCGGGAAAGGAAACATGATGATCCTGAGTTAATTTGATGAGAACAACTTTGACACTGAGCTTTAACTCCCGCTGTTTGACACCGAACAGGAAACGGATTTAACAACTCCACATGTCCCATCACCGGAAATGTCAATTTTCCGTGTGGGAAGAAGCTGCGGAAACGAAATTACACTTGAACTTTTTGAAGACTAAATATAAATCTGCCGTTTAGATCCATTCCTGAGTAACCGAGGAAACAGACCTGCGCACGAGGAGCCACAGCTGCAGGTGGAGATGTTCGCAGTTAGAGGAACATCTGGAAAACCTGCATGAAGTGAAACATGATGAAAGACTGAGGTTACACCTGAGAGCCCAGGTTAAATAAAATCTCATTAAACCAACTTTTATATTGATCTGAGGTGATTTCCAGCTGATAGGTGATCGATGAAAGCTCCGACAGTCATGGCCATCAAATTATTATTACTAACTACTGAATGTATAGGATGTATATGTGACAGTGTGGTGACATGAAAGGTTTAGAGGTATCTGGACTTTGTGACGTCATCCCTTTCTTATTTGGGTCAAACTTTCTAAACCAAACAGCGGCGGCGGCAGAAAATAGGTCCAAACCATTTTCTCCACTTACCTCTGTAATGTCAATTGCCATTGTTGGCGGCCGTGTCCGCGTCGCTCCGCCCCTAAATGTGTCGGAGTCTGAGTCCGGCGGGATAAGGGCAACTCCTCTCCTCCTGCTGCCGATCAGCTGGACTTCTTCCCAGGGAGACACAAGAAGCAAGAAGCCGGAGGGAGGGAGGGGGACGCAGGCAGAGCCGCCGGACAAACCCCAACACATCCAGTGAAAAGGCAGCAGCAGCGGAGCAGAGGGCACGGGGGTGGCCGCACCATGTCCTTGAGCCCAAAGCACTCCACTCCCTTCTCAGTCACAGACATTTTGAGCCCGATGGAGGACAGCTACCGGAGGTTTGGAGGTATGGATCCCGCCGCGGGGAGCCTCGGGTCCCCGCTGGGCGCCTACCGGCAGCAGCAGGTCTCTCAGCCCGGTATGCAGCATCAGCAGCAGCCGCTGCAGCAGCAGCATCATCATCATCAGCCGCCTCATCTCCACCACCATCACCATCATCACCACCATCACCACCTGTCCTCCTCTTCATCCTCATCCTCCTCCTCTTCCTCAGCCTCGGCCACCGCAGCAGCCGCCGCACTGGGACCCGGCGGGCCCTACCATGTGCCCCACGGGGTGCCACAGTTCTCCGGGGCCGTCGGCGGGTTCTGCAACGGCGGCATCGGGAACGTTGGAGACCTGCCGTCCTACCAGGAGACGGTGAGGAGCGGAGGAGCTGCGGCGGCGTGGTACAGCAACCCGGAGCCCAGATACCCGACAAGTAAGATCCAAGTTCAGACGCAAGTTTTTCTTTTAGAGAAAACTTTGTTGAAGAGAGAAAATGTGAACTGGAGAGTCCTGACTGCTGCGTTTACACCACGGAAAAATGAAGGTGTTTATCTCCAACTGTAGATTTTAATGGATCTAATCATTGAAGTGACCATTATCTTCCTCTTTAAATCAGGTCTTAATCTCTGGATTCACTACAGTCACTTTTAAGTTTCAAAGTTTATAATTATCTAAATGTCTGCAGCACAAAAACACAACTTTATTATAACTTAAAAAAAAAAAAAATTGAATCACCATAAGGACCAAGGTTTTAGTCCTCCTCAGTGACCTCAGCTCATTTAAATTTTTAAATCTTTGAATTTACCTTCATGTCTGTTATTTCAATACATATATTACAATACATACTTATCTGATTTTCTTGTCCCACTAAAATGTTATTTTTAATTTGATTTGATTTAAATGAATTAATCTTTGAGAATGATAAATTAAAATGTGTTCAGTTAAATTCTTTTTTTTTTTTTTGTCAAACATTAATTATTTCCCCTCTAAGTTTCCAGATTCATGGGCCCCTCCGCCGGGATGAACATGTCCGGGATGGTGGGCAGTCTGGCCGGGATGGACTCCACCGCCAAGTCCATGGTGACGCTGCACGCGGCACCGCGCAGGAAGCGGCGGGTGCTCTTCTCTCAGGCGCAGGTGTACGAGCTGGAGCGGCGCTTCAAGCAGCAAAAATACCTGTCTGCCCCGGAGCGGGAGCACCTGGCCGGACTGATCCACCTCACCCCGAACCAGGTGAAGATCTGGTTCCAGAACCACCGCTACAAACTGAAGCGGCAGGCCAAGGACAAGGCCGCGCAGCAGCTGCAGCAGGACGGAAGCGGAGGGGGAGGCGGCCTGTGCGCAACGAACCGCCGCTCCTCCTCCGTGTCCCCGGTCCTCTCCAAGAACGGTAAGAGCTGCCGGTCCGACTCCGACGGCTCCAACCAGGCCGGGAACCGACAGCGCAGTTCGGGGGAGGCCATGACGGCGACCCCGCAGCAGCAGCAGCAGCAGCAGCAGCAGCAGCAGGTGAACCAACTGTCCTCTACGGACGACCTGGAGGATTTGTCTCCTAGTCCGCCGATGGGACTGCACGGTCAGATCAACATGACGCAAACGGACGCGGCGCTCATCGAGTACACCAACAGCATGATCGGCTCCAATTTACTGTACGGGAGGACTTGGTAGGGACACCGGGAGGAGGACAGGCGGGATCGGGCCTGTGGGGGATCATTCCCGGGTTGGATTGTTTGGAGAACCGGCTGGAGGACAAGCACCAGATCCGTTTCCTTTCCGTGCGTTAAGTTCTGGTTCCTTCACGCACACAGGGACTCAAAGGACACTCAGTGGTTTTGAGCAACACGGTGCAAAAATAAACTGTATATTAGAGCTTTGAACCTGGTCTGAATGTTGATAATTATTATTTTCTCCCTTCAAAAACTCAACATTTGTTATTCTCTGTTTTTGAAAATGTCGCTGCTGCCGAAACAAAACCAGAAAAATCTAATTAGAGGAGATTGAGGACGAGGCGCAGCCACTGGGCTTCACTTTCATTTCTACAACTAATTTAATTATTGCAGGTTTATATCAGAAGTTAAATCTAAGTGAAGCAATAGAGACCGGTTTAAAAAAATAAGCATTTATCCCGGGAGGAGCTGCAGCAGAGAAATATTTTCACTGAGAGTTAAGTCATTAAATATTCTTTGTTACAGCTGATTTGAATTTGTTTCCAATATTGAATAAATGATATTTTCATTTTGAACATTTTAACGTTTTTATTGTGCAGCCTGAAGAAAATATTTGATAGATTTTTGTGTTTTTTAAAATGGTAACAAATATTTGCTATAATTTACAGCAGAGCAGAAACTCATGCGGTGTGGATACATGGACATAAACCGTGGTTTGCAGCGTAATTTTAGCACTTGAACGCACCAGAATAATCACCAGGATACGTTCAAAGCCTCAGATGTTCTGCAGTAAAAAAAACCTACTGTGAGGTTGGTTAAAATCTGCGATTTTTTTCTTTTAAATTTAAGTGGAAATTAAAAACTTTATTTTGAAAAATAATTTCCTTTCTAATCCTACATCAGGGTTACTCTTTTATTTTCTGTCTGAAACACATGGAGGAATTCCTCTCACAAAGAAACACAGCAGGACACTTTGTCCTTGACTCACTTGTATTTTACAGACTTCCTCTTAAAAATCACAAGTTACATAATAAGTTTGTTTTTTTTTTGAGTCGGATAAAAATGAAAAAACAAAAAACTTCATTGTAAAGACAATAAAATGAAAAAAAGATGACATGTTTCTCCTAAAAATAGTCACCCCCCCCCACTTTTAAAGTCCAACATTAATGTAAGTTTAGTTCCAGTTGTATCTCCTGGAGGGGGGAGGAGGGGGGTAACCTCTGCCAGAGTTGTAGCCCTGAAAGACAAAATGACAGATTCAGCATTAAAGAAAAACACATTTTACAGTGATGAAATGAAACAGTTTGAATGCAGGTTTGTTTTGTAACTAGGCCTCTATTAGACTTCACTTCATCTGTATCACTGGGTTCATTTCCTTTTTTTGTTGTTGCAGGAAACGTTTCACATTTTCTTCTCGTGTCAAACATCATTTTTAAATCCCATAAATTTAAATCTGCACAAAGTGTTTTAACGTCAGGAGGAAAAAATATTCAAAACTTTAATTCATTAGAGTTAATTTTGCTCCTAAAGAGACGAAAAAGGAACCGTGTTCGGTTTAATTCATGTCCAAACTTTCCTTGTTAATGTGTTGAGTGAGTTTCTGAAACTCAGGTCTTAAAAAACAAACAACAAAAACACGAATCATTCGAACCAACAGAAACATCTTTTGTTAATGTGTTCAGAAGAAACAGCAGCAGGTTTATTAAAGGGTTGATTCAAACAAAAAAGAAGAGGAAATAAAACTAAGGAGGTTTTCTGCAGGAGGTTGCAGAGGTTTGTGGACGATCCAGAGAAACATGGACGTTGTTTCTACAAAGACGTGAGAAGAAAAAAAAACGGGAAAAATAAAAAATAAAACTTGACAAAGACGTAAAAACCGATGGAGAGACAGATGTAAGAGAGAAGATCCCTTCAACGCCTCTGCACCATGTTTGACTGGTTCATGACAAAGTTTGAACAAACATCAGTCCAACTGGAACTCGACCAGTTCAACGGTTTACTCCACTGGTTTTACTGGTCACAGTGTTTGCTGCTTTTTTTCCTTCATTATTAACAAATTAAAATCTGACACAAACTAAATGATTTTAGATTCTGATGCATCAGTTTCCTAAAATCAGACTTTTACTGAGACAGGAAGTCTGAAGAAACTATTTAAAGTCGACAGAATAATTTAAATGTCATTATTCTAAACACTAAAGAATCAAACAACAGTCTGTATGTGTGTCAACACATCACGAGTTTCAGGGAAGATTTCTGCTTCAACTGAAAACTAAATATCATCAACGTTAATCCATTAGTCAACTGACAGGAAATCAATCATCAGTATGTTTTTGATAATTGATCAACTATTTAAGTTGTTTATGAAGCTAAAATGTCCAATGTGTTTTGGCTCCATCTTCTCACATGTGAGGATTTGCTGAATTTATTTGTTTTATATTTTTGTAAATTGAGAATCTTTTGGTTTTTAGCTCCAGAGACTGAAGTTATTCTAAAAACATATAAACTGAAAACAAACATGCAAGTTATTTAGTAGAAAATATTTACATTGACGTGTTAATGATCAAATGTAAAACAGGATTCAAAGACGAAAAGTTCATTTTTCACAACACAAATGATGCAAAAATCCCAAAGGAAAGTTGAGTGAGGATCGAACAAATATAAACAATTATTCAAAAACATCAGCCACAAACAGCCAATCAGATTCTGTTGTTTGTGTTTCTTCCTTTAAAACTTTAATAAGTTGATGTGAATAAAAGTTTGATATTTCAGAGGAAAAGAAGCTCTGAGTTTAATTTTCTGACACGAGACGTCTCGTTCAGAAATGTTGAGCTGAAGACAGAAACTTTGGCTCCGCCCACATCTCCACCAAACAGCGAGGTGTTTTTTATTATTATTACTTAAACCCACTGGCTGTGAGACCTGAGGGTAACTGACATGTTTGGTGCATTTACCTGATGCTGTTGCCCCCGGTTGTCCCTGCGGTCGTGCCAGTCGTCCCTGCGTTGATCGTAGCGCTGCTGGTAGCCGCCCGGCGCCCCTCCTCCCCGCCCGCGGTTCATGTTCTGCTGGTACGCTGACTGCTGCGACTGCATGGCCCGATCCCAACCGTGACCCCCACCTCCATACTGCTGCTGCTGCTGCTGCTGCTGCTGCTGCCTGGAGACGTAAACACATCAGAGGCGTCATCTCCCGACAAAGCTCCGTGAAGCACTTTAACATGGTCTTAAATTATCACACAGATTTTAAAGGTTCCAACTCTCGGAGCTCCGGGTTGTGTTTTGGTCTGAAGTGGATGTAAAGACCTTGAAAGAAGAAGTACCAGCACTCCACATGACAAATGAGTCTGTTAATGCAGTTAAAGGATTCATCACAGGATAGGAAGCACAAAATAATACTTTTATTATCTTACATTTGTCATGTAATCACAGAGCGGAGTTAGAAATACTTCAGACGGGTTAAAAACAGGTTAATTCACAAGAAGGAGCCGCACTACAAACTGCTTCAGCGTGTTCACTCCTTCACCTCTTTATTAATTTCTGATGAATTGAAGCTTTTACTTCAAAACTTTCACTCGTCATTGGCTGGACAGAAATAAACGAAGCAGATTAAAGGACAGAGGGCAGCAGTAGATTTTAGGTGAACACTCCACCAGTCCTTTATTTTTATTAAACAGAGATGAGAAGCTCCGATTCATTTACAGCTTCAAGTATTGTTTAAATATTTCTAAAATCCAATTTGTGGCTCCAATATACTTTACTAATGTTTCTCCATGTTAGAAAACCTCCCAAAGTTCTGTAGTTAATGACAACAAGCAGGGAGGAAAGAACTGGAGCTGAATCAATGACAATAATCTAATGATCTAAACTATTTTAATAATTTTAATAATAAATTTAATAAGTTTCAGACATTTTTAAAGATAAATAATTCGCTGGTTGTGATTTCTCCAATTTGAGGATTTTCTGCTCTTCTATTCTTTATAAGACTTTTTAAGTTTTGTTATCGATTAATCTGTTGATTAATCCATTAGTTGTTTGGTCAATGATTTGTCAGAAAATTGTGTGAATTTCTCCAGAACCACGGTGACGTCTTAAAAATCTCATTTTGTTTGAGAAACACAAAGATATTGATCATAGAAAACGATGGAAACTAGAAAACATTCACATTTGAGCAGCTACAATTAAAAAACATTCAAAAAGTGACTCAAAATGAAGAATCGATTATTAAAATAGTTTGTCGGTTAACTCTAGTGTTTATCATTGTTGAGTGAATCTCTTTCTCTCTTCGTATCTTTTCGACCTCTCGGTCGGACTGAATGACATCTGAAGACGTCACTCTGTGTTTGGAAACTCTCAGACACTTTCATCTGTTTCCGTCTCCGTGACTGAACAATTAATAATAAATAATAAATCGTTAGTACCAGCTCTAAAAAGAAAAGGTGAAGGTTTGATTTAGGAAATGTTAAGAATCTGAAACTTTTACTTCATTTCACATTAATTCATTATTTATTTGCGACGGCAGAAATCCTGAAGTTTTATTTATTAATAAAAAATAAAAACGTTTGATGTCATCACTTTATCGGTTTAGATTTATTCATGCTGCGAACTCTCTGATAAAACGCTGGACTTCCTGATCCTTTAATGCTGCTGTGAAGTGACCTCCTAAAACCCCCATCGACTTGCGTTTGCCGAGGGCTCGAGCTCTCAAAGAGATAAAACGGCCTCTCCTCCGAGATGACTGAGCGTCGACGCACATGAAAGAGCGCCGAGTATGAAACCGACGTTATTCACATATGGCCGGGATCGCCCTCATCCCCGAAATGAGACGGCCACATTGCGTCCGTGGGACCCGGCGCACCGAGACCCTCCAAACGGCCACCGGACAATGTGTCAATCCAGCAGTGATATTAAAAGTCTCTCCTCAGTAACAATGAAGACAGAGGAGCTGAGAGCAGCAGCCCCATCCCTCATTACTGAACCATGTCACACTCAGGCCAGAGCTGGA